GCATTGATGCCCCACTTGCCACTTCTTATCGCATTTGAAACAAAGTCCTTAATCTTCTTTTCTTGTAACTCTCTCTCCGACAAGCGTCGCATATCCTTGATTGGTTTAGAATACTAACTTAAAACTTAAATGGTGAAGGGCTATATTTTCCATAGAACTGGGAGTTCCTATCGTAATGCATGACTACCTAACAGGGGATTCACTGCAAATACTAGCTTGGCTCTTTATTTCCAAGATAATGGTCTACTTCTTCACATCCACCGCACAATGAATGCATTTATTTATAGACAGAAGAATTATGGTATACATGTTCGTGTACTAGCTAAAGTGTTACATATGTTTGGTGGAGATCATATTCATTCCGGTACCGTAATATGTAAACTTAAAAGGGAAAAATAAATCACTTTGGGCTTTGTTAACTTATTGTGTGATGATTTTATTGAAAAGGGTAGAAGTCGCGATATTTATTTCACCCAAGATTGGGTCTCTCCAGGTGTTATGCCTGTAGCTTCGGGCGGTATTCACGTTTGCATATATGCATGCTCTGACCGAGATCTTTGGGGACGATTATGTACTACAATTCAGTGGAGGAACTTTAGGGAAACCTTGGGAAAATGCACCCGGTACCGTAGCTTATCGAGTAGCTCTTGCTTTCACAGTTTTTGGGGTGGCGTTTGAGGTAAAAGCTATGGAAGAAGATCGATTTTGGAAATTTAAGGACGCTTGCATGTTTCTTGAATAAGGTGTGTTCGGAAACTAGCTGGTAGTTGGTAGAGGATAACGTTTGATTTTGGAGCGTTTTATTTAGGCTAAAAGCTAAACGCTTCTGTCGCCGAACAAAGCTTTTTTTTACTAGCGTTTTCTTAAATGCTAAAAGCTCCTAAACGTTGCGTGCCCAACACTCCCTAAGTCGGCTTGAATGATGTTGGATTTACCTTGTCCTCAATTTTCACTGCTCGTTCCATTGCTTAATCCACACTACAAGGCCCCAAAAAACTCTAACTTAGGCCTGAATCTCATTTTTATTGACTTCTTCCTTTAGCCCACTTAACATAGCAAATAATTAGATGAACATCCATTGGTAATCCAAAACGAATCAATTTGCTTGATTGCCCACCACTGCTCGTAAAACGATCCCTCATTCAAAGATCGAAATTGTCGGATAATCAATTCCTTTAGGTCTTCCCAACAACGAATTTGTCTTCTCTGATGTTCCCATTGTTGCCTCCTAACGCTACAACCTCCGTTGTAATCGGTAAAAATTGAAATACCTCTCCACCTTTTCCGTTCAACCTTGGTGGTAGTCGTCTACCACTGTTCAAAATCAGTTCTTCTCCCATCGATAGTCTTCTTCCGGTTCCAACGAGTTTCTCAGTTTCTCGTTCTCCTCCGCCATCTTCTCGGTTAGTAAAGTAAACTAAGAGTTTCTCAATTTTTGTTGCATTTCAGCTATTGACTTCTTCCAAACAACCTTCCATCTCCTCGATTCTTTGAATGTTAGTTCTAGTATTAAGAGCCATGTTGATTGCTCTAATACCACATTGCTAAGATCTCCCTAAATCAACAAGTGTAATCACGAACTGAATTGAAGAAACAAGAACATATTGATATTCAAATGTTTGTTAATGATTGAAAGTATAAGTCTGGCAGTTCGAGAACCCAAGGATCTCCTACAAGAGAATAACTCTCTAATAACTGAAAAAATAACCCACAACTATCATGTAACCGGCGACAGAGGAGTCCGGAGAAAGGCATCGAGAAAGAAAGAGGGCTTGAGATGCGGCGGACGGAGCCAATTCCGGCGAGATCGGCGACTGCAATGTTGATAGAGAAAGAGACGACTGTAGATTAGAGACTGCTCGGTGGAGAAGGTGCCATCGGAGAGAGGCAGCTGCAACATCAGAAGGGGCTAAATCAGAAAAGAGATCTAAAGAAGTGGTCAGCCGAGGAGGAGGCGGAAGGTGAGGAGGCATATGTCATCTGTGGAGGAGGTAGAAGTAGACGAGGCAATAGAAGAAGCCGATGAAAGGGCTCTGGTTTGGTGCCACCAGTTGTTTTATTATTTATGCGACGAAGAGAAGAAACGGAAAAATAAGGAACATAATGAAGGCACCTCCAACGACTATGAGAAAATGTCTTCGGAGGTGGACGGCGGCGGCTACGGGTTGTGGTCGGCAGTAGGGTTTTAACCTAGAGCTCTGATACCATGTAAGATAATAGATTGCTTGATTTCCAAAGACGACAATTACATAGGAATATATAAAGAACACCTAAACCCTAATGGCTAAACCCTAAAGGGCTTGGGCCTAAACCCTAATCACTAACAGTTAATGATTGAAAGTATAAGTCTGGCAGTTCGAGAAGCCAAGGATCTCCTACAAGAGAATAACTCTCTAATAACTGAAAAAATAACCCACAACTATCATGCTCCTACTTTGTAAACAAAAATTGTATTACTAAATTACTTAATAACCCTTTAACCCCAGGAGCTTATTCTTTAGGCATCTTTCCTGTTTTACCCCTTCATTTATAAGTGAACTGCAAGGGTGGCTTAAAATATAGCAATGAAATTTGTTTTTTTCCATGGATGATATTACTATAACTACTTGTTTTTCAAAGTACAATGTAGTAAAAGGAAGAAATGAAAATAGGATGCTATAAGAAACAAATCAATAAAAGTACATTACTATTACTTGCACTGAACACTAATTCAAATACGTAACAAGTTAATTTCAATTTACCTGAGTGGCATCAACAAGAATCTCCCCAATTAAAATGAGAACCAAGAAAACGTATAGGCTGCTGAAACAAAAGGCACTAAAGCAAAATATTG